AGAAAAGCAAAAACAATCAAAAAGTAGGCAGGAAAAGACATTTGAGGGGCAGTTGCAACCTTGTAGAGTTACACGGGATAGCTTCCTAACAAAGATTTTTGTGTTCTGGTGGTTCTTTCTCTGTGGCTTTGAATGCTATCCATGAACTAGCTCTGTGGATCAGGTTGGTCTCATACTCACAGATATTGCCTGCCTCTGCTTACTCATTGCTGGGATTAAAGGTGTGGGTCAACATTGACCACCTCCCCAACAGAGTTGTAAACTCAGCCAAACATGTTCTTACAGAACCAGAAGAAGACACCTGTATAGGTATTTGCATCAAACATAGTAGCTGCTCATTCAAAGAACCTGCAGAAGTCTGGCTGTGGTGAAACACACCATTAATCCCAGCATCCGGGAAGCAGAGGCAGGTGGATCACTGTAAATTCCAGACTAGACTGGTCTTCAAGAGCTAGTTCTAGGACACCCTCCAAATCCATAGAGAAACCCTGTCTTAAAATTCCCCCACCCCCCCAAAATAAAAAAATAACAAAAAGAGAAACAAAGCAAAAATATGCGGCAAGCATGACATACAACCCCAGGAAAGCAAAACACTACAATTGAATCAGTTAAAATCTGTCACAGGAACTGCGGCCCCTCTGACCTAACTGAAATAAGCCAAAGGGTCACTCGAAGTTCAGTCAGGATTGTAAGAGCAGAACTCAAGATATCTGTGATGGCTATTCTTGGTTGTGAACTTGACTGTCTCTGGAATGAATTACAATCCAGAAATGGAGGGCACACATGTGATCCAGATTTTGAGACTGAAAGACACTGACTGTTTGTTTGTTTGATTTTGTTTTTGGAGATAGGGTTTCTCTGTTTAACAGCCCTCGCTGTGCTGGAACTCACTCTGTAGAGCAGGATGCCCTTGAATTTACAGAGATCTGCCTGCCTCTTCCTGGATTAAAGGTGTGTGCCTCCACCCAACAAGACACTGTCATTTGATCCAGATTTTGAGGTGAAAAAACACATCCCTTTAACTCAGATCTGGGCCACGCCTTTTGTTGCAAGCCTATAAAAGGACAGTGAAAGAAAACATATTCATTCTTTGCCTGCTTGCCCTCTGCTTGTCAGCATAAGCATTCCTTCGCTGGTATTGGAGCCAGTGATTCCAGCATATACAGAAGACCAGCTAAGAAAAACCGCCTTGTGGGATTGAGTGAATAACTACAGGGTTCTTGAACTTCCATTCACAGGTAGCTATTGTTGAACCATAACCTGTAAGTCTTTGCAGTGTATTTATATATACGTATATCCTATATTCATATGTATTCATTCTATAAGTTTTGTGACTCTAGAGAACCATAATGTGGTATTTTAGGATTCTTCAAAGCCTCTGAGTAGTCAGACTGGCTGCTGTTGGTGATAGTCCTTCCATCAAGGCAACTCTGCTGCAGGAAGGGTTGAAGGACTGTCAATTCTTATCATTATCAAAAGCAGTCATTTAGTTCTTAGTACTATTTAACTCAGAATACAGTACTCCTATCCCATGGCCCCTAACAAGAGTGTGATTCCCCTCTAAGGTCTCCCAGGTGAAGCTTTTGTTTATGCGTTATCATTAGTGCAAATGAGGCAGAAGTAGAGAGAAGGCAAACTCAAGAGTGAAGAAAGATACTCCAGTGTGAAAACTAGAAAAGAGAAACATGAACCTATGATCATTTGAACAACTGTTCTCACTGCATGGGAAATGTTTCCTATTGCTTATGTAAACTATGCTGCATGGAGCTCTGAATGTTGCACACATTGCATTTTTCAATCCATTTTCTTGTTGTTGAGTGTTTTTATTTAAATTCTAGTTCACATCTAGTATGATTCAAGTTTCCAAGACCAAAAGTACAATAGAATGTGTACACTGTTGATGGGGATGGTTGGTTTTGTGCAGTGGAATATAGTATTTGTTGTTTTATTGTTGCTTTGAGACAGGATTTCATTATTTAGCTTAGGGGAAACTAGAGTTTGCAACCCTCTGTCATGCCCTCCTGAGTAATGAGGTAACCATGCATACATTTGATTTATATTGTGTATATAGCTTTTATAAATATTACTGAGGCATTCTTATGGTAGATGGGCTAACTTGTAATCCCACGAGCCTTCTTTGAATGATCTTCCCAACACCTATGATTGATGTTTCCAATTTACCTACATTATCTGGGTATCATAGTCAAAACAAAGAAACAAAAAATAAACAAAAACCAAAAAAACAAGTGGGATAAAAGATAGAATGAAAATTTTCTAAGATGTAGCACTAGATGTTGATTTTAAAAATATTTGTGTTAGGGGTATATAAAGGATTAGTGCCTTAATTATTAGCAAAAGAACATAGATCTACAGGTTAATTATAACAAATTTATGTAGAAAAAAATACCGATATTAATTTTAGCCAGACTGTAGTGGTGCACACCTTTAATCCCAGCACTCAGGAGGCAGAGGCAGTTGGATCATTGAGTTGAGGCCAGCCTGATCTACTGAGTGAGTTCTAGGACAACCAGGGCTAAACAGAGAATATGTATATAATTCTAAATTGGAGTAAAGGAAAATAAACCAAGGGCCTCAGAAGGGATGTGATATTAGCATGAATTATCAGAAATAACATGAAATTTCTATTTACAATAGAACAACTTCTGTTTCAATACCTATGTATTGTATTAAAACATCTATTTGTGTTATTTCTGTAAAACACATAGTTTATGTGTTGGATATTTATTGATAAAATATTTTACTTTTTTTGGAGAGGGCATTTTCGAGGCAGGGTTTCTCTTGGCTTTGGAGGCTGTCCTGGAACTAGCTTGTGTAGACCATGCTTGTCTTCTAACTCACAGAAATTTGCCTGCCTCTGTCTCCCTACTGCTGGCATTAAAGGCATACACCACCACTTCCCAGCTCAACATTTTAATTTTTAATTTTACATTTTTTTATTCAGAAAGGGTTTCAACTTATAACTTTGGCTGTCAAAGAATTTACTCTGTAGATTAAGCTATCCTCAATTTAGAAATCTGCCTGATTTTGCCTCCCCATTGCTGGGAATAAAGAATTGTACCTCCTGGAACAACCCATACAAAAGTTGTTGGACTTGGTGTGGCCAAGCACACATTTAATACCAGTATAGGGACGGCTGAGACTGAAACATCTCTGTCAGTTCCAGACCAGCTTGATTTCCATAGTGAGAACCTGCCAAAAAATGTGTGAAGCTGGCTTTGGTGGTGCACACCTCAATCCCAGCACTCAGGAGGCAGAGTGAGTTCAAGTATATCCTCCAAACCAATACAGAGAAACACTGTATGAAAAACGAAAAAAAAGTGTGAACAGTCATACATATAGAAACGTCTATTTCAATTTTTATAGAAAGTATTTGGAAATATTCAACTATTGAGAAAAATGGATATATTTAAAATGTTGCTTTGAAACGGTTGGTGAGATAATGGGTATGCTAGTTAGTGGTGTCTTCATACACAGATCAGAACATACAATTGTTCCTTATAAACAGCCTTTTATTGTTATGTTTTCGACACAAGATTTCTCTTTGAAATAGTCTCATTTCTCATGGAAATGGGTTTGTATACAGGCTGCATACCAACTCATAGAGCTCAAGTTGCCTATACCTCTCAAGTGCTGGGATCTAAGTCATGTGCCACCTCCAGTTTATAAGGAATTTTTTCCCCAAGGCAAGGTTTCTCTGTGGCTTTGGAGGCTGTCCTGGATCTAGCTCTTGTAGACCAAGCTGGCCTCAAATTCACAAAGATCTCCCTGCCTCAGCCATATGGAGTGCTGGGATTAAAGGTGTGTACCACCAACACCTGACATTTATAAGGTTTTTATAATGTAATCTTTGAGTTTCAATATAATGAAACACTATTGTCACCTCATGTATATAAACAGGGTCAAATTTTGCTCTTGAATAAACACTTAAGGATCAAATTCCATGGATATGAAACAGGAACTCCCACAGATTGTTAATTGATCACTTTATCCACAACCGTATAATCTACTACCCAGTTTATTTGTGGTTGGATTATCCACCAACTGATTTATTCCCTAGCAATTTTGCCATTGTTTGGTTTATCTATAGGTTGGATTGTCTGGTAATTTGATTATGCATCTCTCTTTCTATACAAAAGGAACATTAGAAGACAAAGACACTGCCATTTCCAGCAACCCAGGACTTGTCTGCATCTCTGTAGTGAAGCATTTAGGACAAGCTCTGCAACCATGCAAGGATCTTCAGGAAACTCACTAACAAGCCAGTCTTTGATAGTGAGTACTTCATTCATCCTAATGGTTTATTGTTCTTTCTTGTCCTTTTTCTTTACATTTAACTCTCCTTAATTTAATGCACAGTTGTACTTGACACAAACTCATGTCCCATGGAAAGCTGCAAAGTACTTGTTAAAATTTTTTGCAAGAAATTTAAAATGTACTTCATCAGCCCATGTCAAGGCATTATACTGTGAAATGCATTCATGGATGATTTTTGTCCTTGCATGAGTGTTCTTGTGTGAATTTAGATGGTGTATTTCTGTACTCATAATAACTGCATGTCACTGGGGTTAGGTTTGGAACATAAGCATGCAGTGACTATAAGAAAGAAAAGTTAAGAGTACCATTCTTAAAGGGAGCAGGAGGGAATCTGTGTGTATCTGGTTTAATAGAGACCCCTGGATTCCTATCCTTGATAACCATATGAGCTAGATGTCCCAGAAGCCTGCTAACTGGATCCTTTCTTGCAGCGACATTGGGGATCTAGCCAAAATTCAAATTCTGGGCCCTACTCTAGAGGTTTTTGATTTTAGAAGCATTCACAGATGACTTTATGTGAATCACTGATTCGAGACCAGTTTCTTCAGAGAAAAGGGATGGTAGAAGATCCATGAACAGAAAAAATTCAGCATAGCTAGTAGTAGATTCCATCCTCTGTGTTGTTTACATTTAGTTTGTTTTCAAAGGGAAGGCTCAAAAGAAGTATGATACCCCAGGAATTACTGAACAAGAGGGCCTGGATTGCAGAGAAGAAGGTCAAGGCCAAACGCCGACTTCGGGCAACTCCTGTGACTCCTGTGAAGATGACCAGTTGCATCTTCCCAAGGCCTGTGACTAGAATAAATTCCCATCCTGAGAATATCACCTTACCTCGGAATAAGTCTGAAGAGTATCTGGTGAAACCCAGGCAGGTCTATGCATTCAGCAGACTGCTGGGACATCTAGTTGAAGACAGTAAAGTGGAGCTAGTATGCCCATTGGATCTTACAAACACTGTCAGAGGAACTGAATTGAGATTGCAGGCTGAAGCCAAAGTTCAAAGAGGCGTTAATAATCTGCACACCTCCCCACTCTTTCCCTCTGTCCCACCACCCTCTTCCTTCAGTCTAGGGGCTACAATGCCAGTCGCCCTAACGTTGTTTCCATCTTTGTGCAGTCAAGAGGTAACTAGTACAGACATTCGACGACAAGCACAGAAGGTTAACAGAGCCAGGAAAAGACTGGCCCAGGCCTTGGAGGCAGACATGCTTGCCAGGCAGGCAGAGAATATGGCAGAATGGAGTCTAGATGCTTATTCTGAAACTAAGTGAAAACAAGACTAAACAACCACAAACAGGAAAACATGAGTGTGCTGGACTCTACAAGTTCTCCATGAAGAAACTTTGTTTACTTTTATGTCTCTTTTGCTTTTCAAGATAAGGATTCTCTGACTGTTTTAGAGACTGTCCTGGAACTCCTGGAGGCCAAGGTCACCTTGAAATCACAGAGATCCTCCTGCCTCTGCCTCACAAATGCTGGGAATAAAAGCTAATGCTTTTTTGGAAAAGCAAAATTATAACCAGTAGTGCTTTAAATAATAAAGTTTTGGTTTCGATAGAAATGTTCTAAAATAAATTTCATGTGAAAATATCCCCTCGGTCAACTATGGTCCACAGTAGGACTCTGGAATAGATCCTCCATCAACCTACAGAGCAAAGGGAATTCCTTGATATAACATTTAGATGAGAAGTGTCTCTGTCTTTGAGCAGTTCGTTCAGTGAAGCTCCTGGGTAGATAACAAAGCCTTAACTCAGGATAGGCAGGCCTGGCCAGCTTGAAGCTAATCCTTTGCCATCCCTACCATGGGCCTGCGGCTTACTAGGTTTTTAGTCCCATACTGACACTACTAGACAGCATATAAGACTGGAATTCTGGTTGCCATCGCCCTGGAAATAGAGAAGCTACAGCTGATATGGCTAATCCCCTTTCTAGAACTATGTCTATGACCTAACAAATAGATAGTTTTATAATATCAGGCTTAATGGGATAAGAAATTTCAGGTTATCGTATTTTTTTCAAAATTTGGTGACTATTGGACTATTAAGTATTCCCTAAATAAGAACTTCTTGTCTCAGCCTGATGAATGTTCGGACTACAGGAAAGCTTGCCATACCAAACTATAATTATTGTTATCTACTTTTCAGCCTACAGGAATAATTTTGTCTGGGAGGCTATTTAGTGTTTTATATTAAGTGCTTAACTTAATACTTGTTAATGGAAAGCTGCTCCATGTGTGTTTTATATACCACTGTCTTGGACTTATTTTGATTGTTTTAGTTAAAATCTCTGTTGTAATCCTAAACTATCAATAAAGTTTTCCATTTAAATAAAAGTTCAGAGATTCTTTTCTGCACTGGTAATTTGATGCTATAAAGATAATATAGATGTGGTTGTATCTTTCATTTATGTTTCCCTTTATACTAGGTTTCTATTATGATCTGAACCTTCCATCTAATATAGCTAATTTAAATTAAACACATTTTAATAAATAAAGTAACACAAGGTAATTTACATGTGAGAATATGATGCTGCTGGGCATGGAAGCACACATCTTTGATTCCATCAGAAGTAAACTTTTATTTTGGAGACAGGATTTCTTTGTATAGTTCTGGAACTCAGTCTGTTCCAAGTGTCTTTGGAACATAGAGATCTGCCTGCCTCTTACTCCCTTATGCTGGTATAAAAGGCATGTGCCCCAACTTTTGGCCTGAAGACATTATCTTGATAATCACTCCTACTGTTACCCTGATTCCTAAACATCACTAGGTGAACTGTTGGGGCCCATAAAGATGGCTCTATTACATCTTTACTAAAAGTCAGAATGCTCAAAACTGTCTTTATTATAAGACTAAACATGGCAGCTACAGGAAGTTTTAGCCTTGGTAGAGCCTAAACACAATATTCTTAATCTGAATAACAACAGAGTTGGGCTCAGGCTTGTTTACTCTTGACCCTGAAGGATGGATAGCAGGTTTGGTTACCAAATACCTTCTGTAGGGTTAAGCGACAGATTCCATCCTGGCCCAGTGGGCTGCTAGTCAAGTTTGAGATTTGTGTACCTTTTCTTCAAAAGAATTCTCTCTGAGACACTTTTGCTTTGCAGCTATGTCTTCTGTGTGCACAGATTATTCACCTTTAACAGGAATGATCTCTGAAGGCTTGTTCTTTAATTTTCCTTTATTTTAACAAAAGTATTTTTAGAGTGTGTGAAGTATATCTATAGGTGTATGTGAGCTAAGGTTGTCAGGTAAAGGTCAGAGGAAGAGTGTGCGTAGGCAGTTTTCTTTTGTGGTGGGTTCTGTGGATAAAACTGGTCATCAGGACTGCAAAGGAAGGGCTCTTACCTACTAAGACATCTTCCTAAACCTGACCAGTTCGCATAATATATCCTGACCCCTGATAGTGAATAATTTAACCAATGAAATCACAAGCAACCCAAATGTCTATTGAGCTTGCTTAGGTAAGAATGGCCTTTTCTTTTGTTTCATTAGATTACATAGCCACCAGTCCAGGAAGAACAATTAGATACATTAACTGAATCTGTCCATTTCCCACTTGAAGTGATGATCCCATATCTACCATCGTCTCACACGCTAAGCTTCCAGGGGACTCTTTCATGTCATGTTTAAGTCTTCTCTAATTCAACCAGTTCAGATGCAGTTTTCTGTACCAGACAACTAAGACACCCTTCTGCATGCCAATAAAGATTTTCTTCTATATGAAGAGTCAGACTTGAAAGTTATCTTCTGTTATTTCTAGTTTGCCTTTTCCTTGCTGTTAAATTCTTCCCATGTTTTCCAACTTCTCTGATCTCAGGGAGGCTTCTTTGGCACAGGTCTAGTTAGTAGTTGTCTTTCCCTTGCACCCTGTCATCTTTAACAGCAAGCCACACCTGTATTTCATCCCCTCTGTTTCAACAATCTCCTGCTAAACAAGAGTACTAGTGATCAGAAGAACAGGATCATTACTTGGACAAGGTCAGTATGGGAAGGCAGTGGAATCTGTTATCTTTCACCACTCATGCAAATATGCAAATTGCTATAAGCTGCTTACCATCTTGTCCCACAGTGTCACTTTTGGGAATGGTTGTATGTTCTCTAGTCCAGTGCCATTTTTACTAGTACATGCTTACTCTAGTAGCAAAATCCAGTAAGGTGTGCCACCCCAACCCATGCAGAGAAAGACTGTCCTAATTTAACTGTCAACTTTACAATCTCAACAGTCATCAGACATGAGAGCCTGCATTGAGGACTTGCATAAATCAAGCTGTCCCTTGGGAAATGTTTCAATTGGTGGAGAAGGGCCTAGGGTAATTTGAAAGGCAGGTAGGCTTTAGTTATATAAGCTAGTTTAGCATGATGCCATAATCAAGGAACATAGTGTATCATTTCTCTAAGGTTTCAGCCTAGATTTCTTACCCTTACTTCCCTCAATAATAGGCTGAAAGATAAAATACATCATGTCCTCCTTTAAGAAACTTGAAATCTCAGCCTAGATACATGGGCGAGTGCTTAGGTCATGCCCCTAAAGCCTTGACAGATTTTGGTGATCCCTGATGGAAAGCCTCATCCTCCCTGGGGAGTGGATTTGGGATTGGATGTGGGGATCAAAGGGTGTTATGGGAGGATGGGATTGAACAGGAACTGTGATTGATATGTAAAATAAGATTGTTTCTAATTTAAATAAAATGTATTAAAAAATGACAAATCAAAAAAATCCACCAACCCCCCACCGCAATATAAGCTTTTTGTTTTATCACAGCAGTTCAGTCACTTTGGACTTTTTCCAAAAGATACTCTACTTTCAGATGGCTCAGTCCTTGTTGCATGTCTTAGCATCCATATCAGACACCATGGAACCACCACTAAAGCAAAGAAGACATGCTGTCTCCTACCATATTGAGAAGGTCTGTATCAGGACTGCCCCAAATGATACTCCATCCTTACAAGGATCAGCTTTGGGAGTACATCTTAAATCCCATACAGAGTTCATGCTTCAATAATCTTCCCACAGAGATTGTTGGTTTTTTTCTGTTCCTGTATGGGTGCCCTGTTTGTGGTATGTAACCAAATGTTTAGAGCCAGAACAAGGGCACTATGCCTTCAAACCCGGCTGGGCAAATAAGTGAATTACTGAAGATTAATTAGAGAAGTTGGATGACACAGAGGCAGCTATATTATGAAAATCCCTACCCCAGAATGGAAGATATCAAAATAAGCTATATCCTTGGGGCTTCTTTCCCAATTTATTGGTGGTTCCATACATTACATACAAGCGCTCTCTTCAGCAGCAATTATGTACTCTTCATAACCTGGGGGATGACCCTTGCATACTTTGCTTCCTAAAGTTTTGGAAAGTTTTCCTGTTTCATTAGTTTCTTCTTGCAATGTCATTTAGGGCATCTTTGTTGAAATACAAAAATCGCATGATCAACTCAATAGTTGCTCAAAAAAGCCTTTGACAAAATCCAACACCCCTTCATGATAAAGGTCTTGGAGAGATCTGGGATAACAGGAACATACTTAAACATAATAAAAGCTATATTCAGTAAACCAAAAGCCACCAATCTAATTTAAAAGAAACTCAACGCAATTCTTCTAAAATCAGGAACAAAACAAGGCTTCCCACTCTCCATACCTTTTCAACATGTTACTTAAGTTCTAGCTATTGCCATACGACAACAAAGGGGGATCACGGGGATACAATTTGGGAAGGAAGAGGTGAAACTTTCACTGTTTGCAGACGATATGATAGTTTACATCAATGACCCAAAGAACTCTACCAGGGAACTCTTACAGCTGATTAACACCTTCAGCAAACTTGCAGGCTACAAGAACAACTCAAGAAAATCAGTAGTCCTACAATATACAGATGATAAAAGGGCTTAAAGAGAAATCAGAGACACGTCACCCTTTACAATTGCCACAAACAACATAAAATACCTTGGGGTAATGCTAACCAAACAAGTGAAAGACCTGTATCGTAAGAACTTTGAATCTTTAAAGAAAGAAATTAAAGAAGCCCTCAGAAAATGGAAAGATCTCCCATGCTCTTGCATAGGTAGGATCAATGTAGTAAAAATGGCAATCCTGCCAAAAGCAATCTACAGATTCAATGGAATCCCCATTAAAATCCCAGCACAATTCTTCACAGACCTTGAAAGAACAATAATCAATTTTGTATGGAAAAACAAAAGACCCAGGATAGCCAAAACAATCCTGTTCAACAAGGGAACATCCGTAGGCATCACCATCCCTGACCTCAAGCTCTA